GTCTTTTGTCACAGCAGCCTTGTCCTGCCTTGGCTGGCTGGCACGTTTGTTCTGATTCTGACAGAGCATTTGGCTACAGATAACGTTAAATCATATATCGGGTGTCCAGTACAGGCAGGTCAACCTGAAGGTGAAAGTTTTATCGCAAACATTTCCCACCTCCTCTGCAAGATGTTTTCTCTGCAAAACATCACCAGCATCCCACACCAGCCATTAGTCATGGAGTGGGTGGGAGATGATAGGCCAGGTTGTCACATTTCCCAAAATGGGGAATCTCAGGCCCAGGGGTCAACTGCTGCTCCCACGTCTCTCTCTCTGGCTCATGAGACTCTCTGCAGGCCATACTCCTTCCGCAGCCATGTCCCCTCTCTCCAGGCCCAATGCAGCTTACTGTCCCAGCTTTGCATCCCCTCCTTGAATGTTTTTGCCTGGCTGGAATGTGTCCTCAAACACTGATCATGCCTTTTAGTTTCCTGGATAGAGCATAGAGATGGGTGTGCACAGGGCAGTGTTCATCAACCTTGGGTTCTCAATTGTTGTTGAACCACAGCTCCCATCATCCCTAGCCAGCTTAACCTTTGGTCATGGATGATGGGAGTTGTAGTCCAGAGATCCAAGTTTGAAGACCACTGGTTAGCAAGGTAGCTTCTCTGTGAAATGCCTAGCTGGCCTAGCTGGCCTTGGGATCAAGGATGGGGAACCTTTGGCCCTTCAAATATTGTTGGACCCCAACTCCCATGAGCATAGCTAATGATTAGGAATGATGGGTGTTGTAGTCCAACATATGGAGGGCCACAGCTTCCCCATCCCAGCCTTTAGCAATCCACTCTATCTCAGCCTGACACTCCCTCCTCCATCTGCAATGTGGATGATGATGATGATGATAGGAGCCTACCTTGCAGGGCTATGGTGTGGGTTGCAGTGATAATGTGCATCAAACTCTGAAAGAGCTGTATGAATACTAACTACAAGGAGCGCTAATGGATGTGATGTGTATATCCACAAAACTAGGGCACAAAATTAGATCTAGTATTGGAACTGGGATGTGAAATCAAAAATCAAAAATCTCACAATTAGCAGGCACATATAATGTCACTTTACTATGCTGTACTACACTGGCCTTTAGGCAGAATATCTCTCTCTCTCTCTCTCTCTCTCTCACACACACACACACACACACACACACACTTTTCACATATAGAAAACTTCCAGAGAGAAGACTGTGCGACAACTTTGCTCAGTGGCATGCTAAACTTTGTTCATTCATGAAGCTTTTACAGGCAGGATCAACCTCCTAGCCTAGAAACTTGGGGATTCATGTTTACATTTTAACTTAAGATTCTCAGAATGCTAGTTGCATGGGTGCATCTGGTAGCACTCGCCTAGCCCTGGTTCATATAACTTTAAGGCAGGGAGAGAGAATCTCCTTCTGGTAGCTAATGGTCCTCATTTAAAGAAGATGAAAACATTTTCAGAGGTGGGTGGGATTGCCATGCAGCATAAAGGGAACTGAAGCTGCGTGCTGGTTAATTTCTGCAAGCATTCTGGTCTGTCCTTAGTAACACAGAAGGTTCCCCGATTGCAGACCACTTTATGCATGATTAACGCATTGCAAGATTTCCCTCCACGTTTATGACACCTTTAGGAATTACTATGACAACGACTTTATCAAGCAGCGTCACTTCATCCTATCCCCATCCTTCTTAATGATTTATATCTTCTAGAGAGGATTCTTTTTTTAAAAATAGTATAAAAAAAATCCCTCCCACTTGTACTCAGCAAGGTAATAAATGAGAAAACTCAATGGTCTGTAAATTGCAACATTGATTAAAGAAGTGATTACTAATATAACTCTTAAATTGACTATGCTAATGCATGCTTGTAGTTCAGGACAGTATTTACATGCTAATGATAAATCCACTGCAGCGTTGGAGGGAAGGGAGGCAGCGAGATGGGGGAGGAGAGAAGAATAGCTTCATCGTGTTAAACGTATTGCAAATGCTTATAAACAGATAATGGGCTATTGTGGAGGAAATTATTTTCACTTGGTTTTCCATTCTTCATATCAAGCTGTTGTGGGGATTTATAATATCTTAACTGTAATGACGAAGGCCAGAGGAGATTATGCTAAACAAGTGGGACCCACAGCAGAACGTTGCAACGTGGATGACTCCTGTTTGTGAGACTCCATTGCATTCTCCTGCCCCTTCTCCATCTTCCATTTCTCCCTCCCCAAACTGCCAGGCAGCTTTCCAGCACCACTGAACATGCTCAGTGCTCAATGGCTGGGAGAGACCCCCCTCTTTGGCTTTTTCTTCTAGTATTTTCTACTTCGGCAAACCTTGAGGTTTCCTTGCTCCTGATGCATCTCATTTTACATGTGGGTGCTGCATTTTAGCTACATAAACAATGGCGCTCACACCTGATCACAGGAAGCAGAGGGAGTGTTAAGGACCACTGAGCATGTCATGAAGCAGGGTGCAGAACCTACGAATGTAAAAACATAGCAGCATCAGAAGAGCTGCCAGATCAGTCCAGTAGTTCATCTGGTCCAGCGGTCTGTTCTCACAGTAGCCAACCAAATGCCTTTGGGAAACCCACTTGCACGACCTAAGCACAAGAGCACTCTCACACCTTTCCATTTTCAGTAGCTGGTATTCAGAGGCATTGCTGCTTTGGACTGCAGAAGGCCTTTCAGGCCCAGAGGGCAATGTCTTTCTCCCTCCCACCCTTGCAGGCCAACTTTGAGGAGTGGGTTGGACCTTGCACCTGTCAGTCACCTGACATCATACTGACAGCTGGTGATTGGCAGGTGGGTTGTGCTGCCTGTCAGATGCTGGTGGTGGTTGCTCGTGAGTAACCAGGCAGAACTCCAACCTGTCATTTACAGGTTTTATTGTGCAAACTATTTACAGTGCAGATACACAAAAGATCATGTCCGTCTTAGTCACTTGCAGAATCCGGGAGTGGCCCCTTCCAGCTTCTCCCCCAACATAAGAACTTCAGCACCCCAAGCCTCCTCCTCCCCTCCTTGTGTTTCACCCCTCTGCGCAAGCTGGGCTACGGAAGTGGGGTGCGTCCCTCCTGGCCAGCCTGGCTAGGTGAGGAGCTGGGCTCTCAGCAGCATCCTCAAGCCCTTTCCTCGCTTGGCTGGACCCTTGGCCCCTTCCCTCTCTTCTCCACTGGAGGTGTGGCTTTTCCCACCGCTGGAAGAGGAACTGCTCCTCAGGAGTTTTGGAGGCTCTCTGTATCCCAGCGGCCCCCCTGCCTCCCTCCCTCCCCTGTTCCGATGGCAGTCCCCTGACACTGCCCAACCCTGAAAGCTGGCTGACTGTGGTGGATGGGATACCGCAGGAAGCAGGATTGAACTCTCTGTGCACCAGCTGATGCATGAGGTCCTGAGTCCTGCAGCTGCCCCACACCTGGCATCACATGTGATACGTGTGGAGCAGATGGACCTGGTTTCAGCAAAGCAGCCTCACAGGCCACATGGGCCAGGTTTGACCTGAGGGCTGGAGGTTCCCCACCCCTGTTATAAGGAACACTCACAAAAAAGGTTCACCAGATAATAAATGTCCCCCTATCTGGATATGGATAGAGCTCTACCTTCTGGCAAGAGCGAGATTAGAGTGTGCAATGTGCTGTATGTGGAGCTACCTTTCAGGTTGGTCCAGAAACTGCAGCTGGTGAACTCAGAGGCCAGACTCTTGTCAGGGATCTGTTAGTCTGAGCATATTATACTGATGATGCACCGTTCTGTACACAGGGGCATAGGGGCTTGGTACAGAAGAAGAAACATGGCTGCCCTTGGGCCACCTTATAGGATTTGGCATGAGTGCCTATTTTGGAGTGGACAACATGATGATATGAATTCACAGCCTTCAGATCAAATGAGTTTACTCCAGAATACAGACACACAAACATGCACCAGAATTCCAGAAGTGCCCTGATCCCAAACAGCATTGCATCCAATAAACTTGGAACAAATACTGAGACCTCTCCTGCTGAGCCAAAGGGACAAGAAGGAGGATACAGGGACGATGAACTGTGCAGAATTGGCTAAGCTAACAGACAAACTGTGGAAGACAGTGCTCTGGTCCATGGGGTCACAAAGAGTTGGACACGACTAAACAACAAAAACAGACAAACTACAAGAGAAAGACAAAAAGGACTTCAGCAGAGTCTAGGAACCGTTTACAGTTTATTTGCTGAAACAACAGAATGGACTGGATTCACTGGCAGGATTTGAATAAACTTTCACATTTCATTTGAGTAGCAGATATTTCAGAGAAATGATAAGGGATTTTATTTTTGTGTAGGAAAAACAGGATACGATAAATAAAACTAAATAACTCAGAAGAGGGGCAGTTGAGGGAAGTCCAGAGGAGGGAATAATTGTAAATAACATGCTGAATGAGATTTGTATCATTAGTTGTTATAAAATTCAAAAAATATTTTTTTTAAAAAAAAGGAAGGAAGGAGGATACAAGAGATTGGGGGAGAGATGATATGGGATGGTTTCAAACCCTGTGTTGTGGATTTGTGATACAGGTTCACACATGTTCACATGGACTTCCCCAACCTGGCTGACTCCAAATGGTATCAGACTGCAGCTCCCATTAGCCATGACCATTAGCCATGCTGGCTGGCTCTGACGGAAGCTGGAGTCCAACAAGATCTGGAGGGCCACAGTTTTATCATCCCTGGTTTCACAGCTTCCCACTTCTGCTGTAGACACCATCTTAGAAGAGGCATTCCTTTCTGTATAACAGGGAACACGCCTTCTCAGGTGCTCATAAGAAGCACCTCCTCTTGTATGATAGGGAAAACGAACACTGCTTCTAAGATGGTGCCCATCACCCTCAGGTTTTTTGTAAGGACCTGCATTAAAAAAGAATTTACATCCCAGAACATCTGGAGGGAATCAGCTACATTCATTCAAATGGCATACCCACTGGTGTCACCCTTAAATACTTCTCTTTTCCCTCCTCTTCTTTTAGGTTTCCGACAGGTGTGACTATGTTTATGTCAACGGCAAGGAAATGAAAGGCAAAGTGAATGCAGTGGTGAACTTCACCTACCAGTACCTGAGTGCTCCTCTGCAGGTTACTGTATGGGTGCCACGCCTGCCTCTTCAGATTGATGTTTCAGATACTGAGCTGAGTCAAATAAAAGGCTGGAGAGTTCCCATCATTTCGAACAAGAGGTGAGCTTTGTTGCTAAATGCATTTGATCTCCTCAAAGCCAGGCTGATGTATCAGCCTGCCTTTCCTTCTTTTGAATCCTGGAGATGACCTCCCAACAGACCAGGGAAGCTGAGGAGGCCTGAGGTGCTGTCTCACACAGCTAAACTTTCCCAACTGCTAAGGAAGGTTGGCACATGAGAGATAGCAGTGGAAGACACAAAGCTTGGAAGGGACTCAGCTCTCCCCCACCAGCACCATGTGGGAAATTAACCGTCTATATTTCAAACCCTCACAGTTCACTTTTCCTGTAGTGCTTTCAAAGTTTGAAGCGCAGAAAGCTGAATGGTTTCAAATGTAATAAATAGGAAAGAAGCTCTGAGCCCCCATCCTCTTTCCATTGAAGAGATCCCCTTGCGTCCCCACATTGCCAATCCACAGGACAGGAGAGGGTGAGGAAGAGCATGGTCTATGGCAATGGCATGGCAATAGAGAATCCACGAGGATGGCATAGGGGTATATCCCTTCCCCAGTTTGGAACATACAAAGCTGTCTTATACCAGGTGAGATTATTTGTCTATCTAGGCAAGATGTTCTCCAGGGTTTGGGGCAGGAGTCCTTGCCACAACCTGTGAATGGGTTGTTTTTAGTGGAGATGCCAGTGATTGAGCATGAGACCTTCTGGGGAGGGGCCATGGCTCAGTGGTGGAGCACATACATACTTCGCATGCAGAAAGACCCTGGTTCAGTCCCCGGCATCTCCAGGTAGGGGTAGGAAGGACTCCTCCCTGAAACCCTTGAGAGCCATTGTCAGTCAGTGTGGACAATGATGAGCTAAATGGACCAACAGTCTCACTCAGTCTGACACCTTCCTCCATTCCTCATTTACCTTTGGGGTCACCCCCCCTTGCTAAGTTTGGTTTTTGGAAATAATGCAAAGTCTTAATTTCCTGGGTGATGAAAGGGTGGTTTGAGCGAGACAGATGGAATTCCTATGTTCCGCACACAATGTATGTGCTTAACAACTGAGCTAAACTCTTTTGTCTGGCCATGGACCTCATCATTGACTAGGGCCTTATGAGAAAGTGCATTGACCATGATCTGGCAACCATAATAGAACGTACTGGTCTTCTTCGGTTTCTCCAAGAAAGAGTTTGCTTCGTATGCTTGCAAGGTGCATTTTCTTCGTAAAAGGCACATCTGTGCACATGAGGCACACCTGCTAGATATCTGTGCTGGTTGGGAATGAATGTTAAGTTGAAATAATAATCTTTCAGACCTACAAGGGAGAGTGATGACGAGGACGAAGATGAGCGGAAAGGACGAGGCTGCACCCTCCAGTACCAGCACGCCATGGTGCGGGTTCTCACCCAGTTTGTAGCTGAGGACACCAGCCCGTGGGGACAGCTCACCTATTTGCTAGGTTCTGATTGGCAGTTTGACATCACGGATTTGGTGACGGACTTCATGAAGCTAGAGCAGCCTCACGTGGCCCAGCTACAGGGGGGCAAAGTCTTGGTGGGACAGGAAGTCGGCATGACAATGGTCCAGGTCAGTCAACAATGGTTGCCATCTTCTGAGCTGCTGTGGTTGCACCTAGGTATGAGAGCATCCCATTCCATGGTTTTATTGTGCAAGAAAGGCAGGGCTGAAGCTTCCTCAGATGCCTTGAATTAGTAGCATGGTTCCTGGGCGTTATGCCTTGCCAGATTCTGAGCATGGGCAAAAGCAGGGGTGGGGAACCTCAAAATTGGGGTCAAAATATAGCCCTCCAGGCCTCTCTATTTGGCCCTTTGTACTGTGCCCAGCGGGTGGCGCTGTGGGTAAAAGCCTCAGCGCCTAGGGCTTGCCGATCGAAAGGTCGGCGGTTCGAATCCCCGTGGCGGGGTGCATTCCCGTTGCTCGGCCCCAGCGCCTGCCAACCTAGCAGTTCGAAAGCACGTCAAAGTGCAAGTAGATAAATAGGGACCGCTTACTAGCGGGAAGGTAAACGGCGTTTCCGTGTGCGGCTCTGGCTCACCAGAGCAGCGATGTCACGCTGGCCACGTGACCCGGAAGTGTCTCCGGACAGCGCTGGACCCCGGCCTCTTGAGTGAGATGGGCGCACAACACTAGAGTCTGTCAAGACTGGCCCGTACGGGCAGGGGTACCTTTACCTTTACTGTGCCCAGCACATGCCCCCTCTCTCCAGACCACATACCTCACGGGCTCTGCTTTGCATCCCAAGTGTTTCTGCCTAGCGATCCAGAATTAAATGGTCCCCTTATGTTAATAACAATTTTAGCATTTGGACACAATCAATGGAAGGTCAACTCCTCTGGGCTGATCTGACCTCCAACGACACTGAAGAGACCTCCCCAATTGACCATTATAACACTTTAATCCGAAAACTCCAACCGTTATTGTCAAGACTCAGGAGACCTAACCACAATGAGTCCCTACCAACAAAAAATGGTTTGACCGTGAATGCATCCAGGCAAAACTTATACTCAGGGAATGCTTTAAGGTCTTCCAGCAAAATCCTAACCCTATCACTAAATTAGAGTTACAACTTAAAAAAAAGAACTACAAAGAGTTACTAAAAACCAAAAAAAGAACCGCAGACTCTCTCATCTGGCAGGCCCTCATAAAAGCGTCAATAGAAAAAGACAATACCAACTTCTGGAAAATTATCTCCAGCCAAACCAAAGCTTCTAATGAGGGCACAATAATCCCTGCAAACTCATGGGAAGAGCACTATAAAGTGCTTTTTAGGGAACATCGTCCTTCTGCGCTGCTTAACATCCCCTTAGATAATGATACACCATGGCCCCCAACATCTGAAACTGAAATCACTTCGTTAATTCTACAAATGAAATCTGGCAAAGCCCCAGGAAGTGATTTCATTGTCGCTGAACTTCTGAAAGCGCAAATAAACTGGTGGGCCCTGGTTCTTGCAAATCTATTTTCATATATAGTTAAGACAACTGAAATCCCTAAAGATTGGGGACTGGCTATAATTGTTCCTATATTTAAAAAGGGCAACCCCTCTGACCCATCTAATTATAGACCAATTAGTCTTCTGAATGTGATCTGCAAACTTTATACAAAACATCTATGCCTAAAATTATGTGAATGGTTAGATCATAATGACTTGCTAGAAATTGAACAAGCAGGGTTTACATCTGGACATTCCACCATAGATCACTGCTTAGTGTTAGATTATTTTGTCTATAAGTATGTGAAACATTGGAAAAAGTCATTGTATGCGGCCTTTGTGGACCTAAAGGCAGCATTTGATTCTGTATCCAGGGGTAGGCTCTGGGCCAAATTGGCCAATATGGGTATTAACAGAAGGTTATTACTTCTGATGATTAAGCTTCATGAGAACAATACCCTACAGATAAGACTCGCACAGGACGGCAGACTCTCTAGAGAAATCCCAGTCCAAAGAGGAGTTAGACAAGGATGCCTATTAGCCCCATTTTTATTTAACATCTATGTTAACTCCCTGGTCACATGTTGCCGTGAAATCGAAACCCACCCCCCCACCCCCCGTGTTCTCTAATGGCAGAAAAGTACCAGTTTAATGTATGCGGATGACGCTGTTCTTCTCTCTCAAACCAAAGTGGGTCTGATGTCACGCTGGCCACGTGACCCGGAAGTGTCTCCGGACAGCGCTGGCCCCCGGCCTCTTGAGTGAGATGGGCGCACAACCCTAGAGTCTGTCAAGACTGGCCCGTACGGGCAGGGGTACCTTTACCTATACTGTGCCCAGCACATGCCCCCTCTCTCCAGACCACATACCTCACGGGCTCTGCTTTGCATCCCAAGTGTTTCTGCCTAGCTAGAACGTGTCATTGAACACTGACAATGCCTCTTCATTGTCTGGATGGGGGACCCAGAGGGGTTGTGAGTGTGTGTGGAGACCAGCCTACCATGCAATGGTACATGTATTACCCCATCCACCTTTGCCTCTGGTCTTGCTGGTCACTGTCCTGTGGCCCTCAGTAGACTGCTCAGAACAGAAAAGGGTAAACTGAAAATGGTAACTCTCACTGGGGCAAAAGCCATGTTTTATGTTGGTTCCCCAAAGACCCCAGACAACTCAGATTTAAGCAAATGTTCCCTGTACCTTAGACAGTCAATCTTGCAAGATTTCCCTGCCATCCTGTTTCCAACAACTACAGGAAGCCCTTCTGGCCATAGATATTATTTCCTCGGGGCCTGATCCAAGAATAGCAGCAGCAAAGAAACTGAGCTTTCTTGGTTTTCTGAATTATCTATGTATAAGGAGTCCCTCCAGAAGGGATGTTGTTTCTGGCTCTTTTCCTCATATGTCCTGACCCCATTAAGCCAGAATTTCAGCTGAATGGTCTTATCTACCATACATTCAAATGATGTTTACAGCTCCCAGAAGCAGAAACTGGGCCCATCTTTACTGCTTTGCAATGGTCCAACACCTCTTTTTAAATATACCTCTCTCCAAGGATGTGCTTTCAGGTCCCCTCCCATAGTTGAAAACTCTAGGCCTAAATTTAGGAAGCCACCTTGTACAGAGTCAACTAGCTCAGCATTGTCAACTCAATGGCTGTGGCTTTCCAGAATTTCAGACAGGGCCTCTTCCAGACCTACCAGGAAATGCTGGGGGTTGAACTTGGGATCTTCTGTATGCAAAAGATACCAACAAGTGACAAGGCAACATTCCTGATAGGGACATAGGAGTCTGCCTTACACCAATTTGGACCATTAGTCTAACTTACTATGGTCTACAATGGGGGCGGGGAGCTTTTGACCCTACAGATGTTCTGGTGTATAGCTATCATTCCTGACCATTAGTAACACTGTCTGGGTAGGCATGAATTGCAATTGAACATCTGGACCGCCACAAGTTGCCAATCCCTGGTTTACATTCACATTGTTTCCCAAGCCCTGGTGATGCTGGGAGTCTTTCCCCAGCCGTGCTTGGTGATGCTATGGATTGAAGATGGGCCCTTTTGTCATATAAAGTAGAGGTTCCCAATTGGTGGTCCACAGACCCCAGGGGGTCTGCATAACCCACCCAGGGGGTATGAGGCACCATTCACATAACAAAAACTACCATAGAGATATCAAAATTGTCAAAAGTAGGGGATCCATGGATTGGCTTTTGAAAAACGGGGTTTGCAGTACTTAGCTAATTGGGAACCACTGATATAAAGCAGATGGCTCTGCCAGTGACCTGTAGTCCTTCATCCCTCTCAAGGTGTTTGGATGCCCTCTTCACAGTTTCACTAAGGGGTAGGTAGACTAGCCATCACCAAAGTCCTGTTTCCAACTTATGCAGCAACGACGTATAAAATTGTGCTAGCAACGACCATTCTGGTTCTCCAGCTCCTGCCATAGACAATATTGTAGGACATTTAGAGTCTTGAAATGCTCCTGTGAGAAAATATAAATTGGCATAAGGAATTTGGGGAGGGGTGACTATTGCTCTTTAACCCCATCTTAAATAGATTTCTTGTTGTCCTTTGGCTTCTCCCAAAGGTATTGTCTCCGCTGTCTGATTCCATCTTGGCAGAGAAAACTGTGACGGTGCTGGATGAGAAGGTGACCATCACGGATATGGGGGTCCAGCTGGTAGCTGGATTGTCACTCTTCCTTCAGCCCAGTGCAGTGAGTAACCGAGCTGTTGTGGCTGTCACTGTGGCCCAGGAGCTGCTCCATACACCCAAACAGGTAGAGTATGTGGAATCCTGTTTTGTTCTATCTATTCGGGCAGTTCTCTTGAGCAATGCACTGAGCTGTGTGTATACTGTGATCCCGCCATTATAGCAGGGGTGGCGGTTCTGGAGAGACACAGTAATCTGTTTCCTGAGATTTTTAGCTTTCATGTTTTGTTTGGTTCTCTTTAAACAAATGCCCAGTCCATATTGCTCTAGATCATGTGTGGAGCAGACAAAGACTACAAATGCAAAGACTCCAGCAAAGACACATATTCTGCTTCAGAAAATTCTCGAGTGCGGGGCATAGGCTCCCTGAGTGGTGCCTCTTCCTGTTATGTCTTCCCCCAGGCTTGAGAGGGAATCACACTGGAGAACATGACTGCGTCATACATAATGCAGAACAGCAAAAATTGGAGAAAGCTGCTTAACGTATGCAAGCTGAACACACAAATCTGCCATATACCAAGTTTGACCATGGATCAATCTCTTCTCATAGATGTTGGGTCTCCAAAGGCTGCATAAGATTTATTTCCTTAGGATGGTATCCTGAGACCTTTTTGAATTGAGATGCTCAGAATCAAATCCTGGGATCTTTAACATGCAAATCATGTGATTTACAGCTGAGCTGTAGACCCCTGTTTCATAAGCCACTGGTTCCTCCTTGCTCTGAGAGTCCTGCACATCTGACGATGGGGAGAGCTCAACTGCTATCCGTGGTTGTCAGGGGTTTTAAAAAGGTATTTTAAAGTAGCATTTAAGTGATGCAATTCTCTTTGGCTTGCCTAAATATGCCTGCTTGCTTGCTTCAGTATTTCCTTGCAGGTGCTTGAAAAAACAATCCCTTAGTGCTCTCAGAATGAAACAGAGGTCCACAGCTCAGTTGTAAAGCACATGATTTGCATGTTGAAGATCCCAGGATTTGATTCTGAGCATCTCAATTTCCCTCCAACCAACCCCCATCCCATGAACCCTTATCCTGCTATCTTCCCTTTTTCTTTCTCCAAACTTAACTGTTGGTTGGGTGTTGGTGGTGGAAGTAGTGTTCCAGGCTGAATGAGCTCTGGGAAGTGACTTTCTCTAGGGCTCCCAAATTCAATAAACTCTACTGGGCTTGGGAGCCAAGTTGAATTAAATTTTCTCAAGAGCCCTAACTAAACTCCTGAGACCAATGATATCCCAATGAAGAGGAAAAGGGGCTGCCACCCTTGTCCCACTACCAGGGAAAAGAAGGAGGCATGGGAGCCAAAGGGTCTTCACCTCCCCTAATAAAATATTTGTGGTTTTTTAATAAATTTTTATTAGGGTTTTTACAATATTACAAAATGAAAAAGAAAAAATACAAAATACAAAATAAAAATAGTTAAAAACAATTCAATCTTTTCATCACTTATTTTTCATTTACTTGTTTCCTGGACCTCCTCATACCTCCCTTTTTTGTATTCCAGTTCAATTTATTAGTTCAGCAGTTCCTTTCCCTCTTTATATTATCTTGATCTTTAATCTTAAATTATTATAGCATTAAATTTTAACCTATTAAAAAAACCCATTTTTTCATATTCTTTTATACCATTACAGCTAGAAACCCCTTAATTTCCCTAATAAAATATTTGAGGGTGCTGCTGCCCCCTCTGCAGTTGATGGGCATTGCCATTCAAATGGTGTGTGTGCACTGTGTCATGTCATTGATTATGCGGGGTTGGGCTTACCTGCCCCCCCCCAAATATTTTATTCAAGTTGGCAGCTCTGGAAGGGAGAGGGATGCATGGCAGGCAACAGTGATGTGGGGGAAGGTATAAGACATTTTGGGGAGTTGCTCTTTTAACTGCAGTTTGTATTTCAAGCCCCACCCCCAATTGACTTCGCTTCCATTGAAAATAGGGAGAGGAGACGAGCAGGTGAACATGTTCCTTTCTTCCATTTGGAAGGGCAAAGCCGTTCACCACTGGTAGCCTATTATTCTCAGATTTGGCTGACAGAAGCAGGTTAGCATTGGAGCTCATCAAGGCACCAGCGTGTTGATCCTACTTAATTCACAGGTCTCTGATACTCCAACTGAGCCAGGGCAAAGCTTCCGAGCAGAAAGGTTCAGGTCGTGGCTTCTATGGAGATGAGGAATGTATAGAAGTCTCAATCTCGAGGCAAATCAAATAAGTAGGTGAGGCAGACACAGAAGGAATCTGCAAGGGGACACTCATTCCCCTCACGTGTCTAGAAACAGTCACTTGAACGGGGTCTATAAAGATGCTGCAGAGTGAGATAGTAGAATGGGCTGTACCAGTTTGGGCAAAAGGTGGGGAAGCTGCTGCTTTAGGATGCTCCCCACCATAAACAGAAATGAATAAATCCCTGCAGATTGAAAATGAGTGCATCAGTCCAGCCCAAGAAGTTGAGACTCCCCAATGCACAGGATGCACTTCTGTGCTCTCCTTTGTCTCCCTGCCCAACAAGCTATAAAAACCAGCTCAGGAGAAAGAAAAGAGAGTAGAATGGGGAAATTTTAATGGGCACTTAGGCTTGGCTCCTTTATCTTGGGCTGCTAATGGAGGATAGTGCAGGAATGTCCCCGAGTGAAATAACTCCTGCCTATTCTTCATGCTCCATTGAGGCTGGAGGAGACTTCATGGCTACCAACTTCCTCCCCAATCCCTCCCTGGTTTGTGTTTTCTTGTCTATTCAAAGGTAGAAATGACCTCTGGCATAGAACCATGGCTCTTATCCATGATCGCTATCTGGAATCACCATGTTCAAATCCTCTATGTTTCTGACTACCAGGTGATGGGTGCCAACAGAAGAGAATAGTTGTTGTATTTGAGCCCTGCTTTTGGGCTTCTGGGAAGCAGCTGATTGACTAAATAAATAGGAGAAATGGGATGCTGGACTAGAAGAACCTTTGGCCAGACCCAACAAGGCTCTCACATTTCTTTTTCCTGGAGGTGGGGGCAGGAGGGGGAAATGGAAAATGTCAGGAGCTGCTGGTTCTGTTTGCAGCTGCCCCATGTGGTGAGCCACTGAACTGCAGGTGGCACCTTCTCAATGAAGTACCATCAGGCCCTGGACTGACTCCATCCACACAAGCTGGAGATGGGATCCTCCTGAACAGGAAGGAGCAGAAGAGGGTTTTCTGTGCCAGCAGAGCCTTGGTGGAGAACAAGATCTCCCTGAGTTCTGATGTGTACATGTATTCTTGCTAATTCTTCAGCCCTGACTCTCTGGCTTGCTCCTTGACCCTGCCTCCAGGCTTGTCCTCTAGTTCCAGCTCACTCTTTGGTCCTTATTCCTGCCTTGCTCCTCTATCCTCTTTGATCTTGACTACTAGCTAGTCCCAGGTTGGTTGCCAACAGTATATGAATTAAAGCAGGTGTATTGTTCAGCTGGGATGCGGGTGGTGCTGTGGGTTAAACCACAGAGCCTAGGACTTGCCGATCAGAAGGTCGGTGGTTCAAATCCCCGCAACGGGGTGAGCTCCCGTTGCTCGGCCCCAGCTCCTGCCAACCTAGCAGTTTGAAAGCACGTCAAAGTGCAAGTAGATAAATAGGTACCGCTCCGGCGGGAAGGTAAACGGTGTTTCCGTGCGCTGCTCTGGTTTCACCAGAAGCGGCTTAGTCATGCTGGCCACATGACCCGGAAGCTGTACACCGGCTCCCTCGGCCAATAAAGCGAGATGAGCGCCGCAACCCCAGAGTTGGCCACGACTGGACCTAATGGTCAGGGGTCCCTTTACCTTTTACTAGCTAGTCCCACAGCTATTGGTTCACCAAAGATTGTTCCCATGGCCCAGCACTGTGTGTCATCTTTCTATTTGCACACTGAGAAACTCTCTGATGTTTAAAGAAGGCGGGGAGAGTTACAAGGAAAGTAACAGTCCTCTGATTGTGTTAAGGTCTTCTTACTTACATTTGGCGTATACAGCTTACCTCAGGTAGTCCAGATGTTGTTGGACTACTACTTTCCTTATCACTGGCCATGCTGGCTGAGGCTGATGGGAGTTGGAGTCCTGCATTCCCCATCTCTGACTTAGACCCTTAGTCAACACAGTCATCAGCAAGTGACTCAAGCAGCAGTTACATCAGCCATAGGCAAACTCGCCCCTCCAAATGTTTTGGGACTACAATTCCCATCATCCCTGACCACTGGTCCTGTTAGCTATGGATGGTGGGAGTTGTAATCCCAAAACATCTGGAGGGCCAAGTTTGCCTATGCCTGAGTTACATGGTGGCTACATCTCCCTTTCTCTTCTTCCCCATTTTCTTTCTCCAGGAGCATTTCACATTATAAGCAATTTGATTGAATTAAAGATCTGAATTAAAACATTTTTATCCCACTGTTCAGCAAAAAAATGGCTCCCAGAGCGGCTTACAAATGTCAATGAGAAGACAAATGGTGTTTTTTCCATGGGCTCTGCCTGTGTTCATCAGAACACAATATGATTGATTTGACTCAAGCAATGACAGAAGCCTGCTCAGATATGAGATGTTTCCTCATCATGAATGACAGCACAGCCCAATACTGAAGGGGTGAAAAACTGGATACTTCCTTCACAGCTGTCCATTTTTGAACCAAATCTTCTTCTTTTTCTAATGTGGTGATGTGGGAACCTTTCAGTCCAGCAGGGCAAATCCTTAGCTCCCCCACCCCCAGAAGGCCACTTTGACAGACAGGCAGAGCCACCTCCTGCCAATCACCTGACATCATGACATCAGGTAACACATTTTTTCCCTTCCCAGCATAGCCTGAACTCAAGTTCCATTGCACAGGAAGATCTCTGCTGACTGGTGCTGACTTCAAGCCCCGTTTGTATCTGCTATACTCCATACAGTGGTGCCCCGCAAGACGAATGCCTCGCAAGACGAAAAACTCGCTAGACGAAAGGGTTTTCCGTTTTTTGCGTCGTTCCGCAAGACAAATTTCCCTATGGGCTTGCTTCACAAGACGAAACGTCTTGCGAGTTCTTGCGAGTTTGTTTCCTTTTTCTTAAAGCCGCTAAGCCGTTAATAGCCGCTAAGCCGTTAATAACCGCTAAGCCGCTAAGCCGCTAATAGCCGCTAAGCCGCTAATAGCCGTGCTTCGCAAGACGAAAAAACCGCAAGACGAAGAGACTCGCGGAACAGATTTATTTCGTTTTGTGAGGCACCACTGTACTTCCCAGTTGGAAGCTCTGGAATGTAGCAAATTTCAGTGGGTCTTGGAGTCACTGCTGTTCAGCTGGCTGGCCCTGACTTTCAGTCAGTGACAGGCAGTATATAAATATAATAGAATAAATAAATAAATAAATAAATAAGTCTCAAGAACCCAGTCCTTCAAGAACTGCCTCTCCCCACATGACCCAACCCAGACAATGCAATCATCATATGAGGCCCATCTTTGAGTGCCTCCACCATGGAAGATTTGGAGAGCGGCAACACAAAATTGGGCCTTTTCGTAGTGGCACTTCACTTGTGGAATGTTCTCCCCATGGAGTGCCACCTGACACCATATTTATTTTGAGGCAAAGACATTTATTTTTACTTGGCCTTTTGGTCCTTAATTTGAAGGGTACCATTGTAGCACCTTTCTATGGGGTGGGGTCTGTAAGTCCTGCTTTTTATCAGCATTGCTGTGTTTTTGGATTTTCATTAGATGTTCTTCATTTGTTTTAATGTAAATCGCTTCAGCTTACTTTGTGAGTAGCATTGACTGGGATTTGGGCACCTTACAGATTACCTTCTCCTGCACATGCTCTCCTCTATATTTTGTTCAACATCTGAGGTCCTGCGATGGACCCACAACTGCTGGAGTGGCCCCAGTTTTTTCTTCCCTTCAGCTGTGCTGTGCTGCCATTCAAAGTTATCTCACACTCTTCCCATCATTGCTGCCATCAAATAAATCATCCCAATTTTTTTTAAAGGACCATTGGCAGCAATCCTGTGGAAATGTTGCTTGTTTGCAGAGAGAATTGCAGAACTGAGAAAGAAAGAAAGAAAGAAAGAAAGAAAGAAAGAAAGAAAGAAAGAAAGAAAGAAAGAAAGAAAGAAAGGAGGCGAATGTAACCAGGGCTACCATAATCTCTCCATGTTTATGACTTGTAATTGATGGGCCAGGGGGAGATCTGTCACATCTCGGGTGCCATCATGAAAGATTGAAGCTCTGCAGATGAGATGGTTTTCATCCATCTTCATTCCTTGATGGTAATTGGAGGTGCCTGTCGAAGAATCAGGGTGGGGGCGATTTATTGATGCAGCACGCCAGCATGGCCAGCTTTGCAGAAACAGTTCTTTGAAGGACACAGTGCTACATCATTTCTTTTTTTCATGGATTCTACCATTCCCTTCAGCCCCAGCCAGCACAGCACTGGCTGAAGATCATGGGAGTGGTACTCTCGGGGGCACCAAATTGGCAAAGGCTGGCTTAGACCATGAGTCACCAACACAGCACCCAAGTGCCCAAAGAGGCACCCCCGAGTGCCAAAAGGGCTCCATTCCTTCCTGCTGTAATTGTGCTGGGGGGTGGGGAGCCTTCTATTGTAGCCAGTAGCTTTTTGTGATCTTCACTTTTCCTTCCCCAGCTGTGACCTCCCTGCCAAAAATGCCCATAGTGTTGCAATTGGATGTCAAATGGAGGAGGGACAGTTATGGTGGGGGGATGACACAGCCAGGAAGTATAGTCCTTCTCTCTTCAGCTGCACCCCCAAGCACACTAAAAACACCCCCACACCACAATTAGCCTTCAACAGAAGAATCATAGAATTGTGGAGTTTTAAGGGACCCTTGAAGACATTGAGTGCAACCCCTGGCAATGCAGAAGACCTCCCACCCCTGTTTAAAAACCTCCAATGAGGTATTTGAAGATGGCTGTCACCACTCAGTCTCCTCTTCTCCCGGCTAAACATACCCACTCTCTGTACCATTCCTCATAAAGCTTGGTTTCCAGACCCTTATCAGCGATTCCAGGAGATTGGACTAAATGACCATTGGGGTCCTTTCCAACTTAACATGTTGAGCATGCTAAAAACATTGAGCCCTTTGCCCTTTCTCTGCAGTGGCATGGTACGTTTCCCCCTCACCTGGTCTCTGCGAAGCATGCTGTGGACTGGCTTCAAAATGGAATATTAGCTGAGTCCCAGTTTCCCAGGGAACTAAACGCCTTTCGCTGTTGCCAGCAGAAAGCTTGAAATTTAACCGGAAGGGTAGCAATGCCCTTTGTTCTGAGCTAAGGTGGAACAAATCTTAACTGCTTGCAAACAACCTGGTAACATATGCTGGCATTATGATTGGACAGTACAATGGGACACGATATGCCTTTGAATGCCAGGTGTTGGGGGTCACAAATAGAGACAGTGTTGTTGCACTTGGGTCAACTAATTCTAGTTTTGTCCCCGCCTCCCTCCTCCCTGCATGCAAGTTGGCTGAGGGAGACTGAGATTGATCGCCCCAATGAACCAGCCTCTGTCACGCCTAAAAATTGGCCGCTGTTTCTTTAATGCTAAAAGAACTAAGTCAGCATGAGTCAGCGGTTTACAATGACTCATGCAACCTTTCACCAAATTGTACCTGTATCTATAGAGTGGCCAATGTTAGTGTTTGGTGTGGGTTGGTTGGATGGTAGAAAGCTGGTTGAGTTTGGTGCGTGTAAAAGCTGTCGGTCGTGATTGGAGAAGAAGACTTTTTAAGAATAAAAGCAGCCCTACTCTGCAAGAATACTCTTTCTCAAAGACTCTTTTGTGCCAACTAAGGTCTGAGGACTAGGCAAAGGAGTGAAAAGGAGGTCAGAACCTTTTCTTTTTCAAACACTGACAGCCTCCACTAAGACAGCTTTCTGTGTCCCTGTATCAGGTTTTAACTTGGATATTGATTTGGGGAAGGAATGTAGATCACTGGTAAAAGCATCTTCTTTGAATGCAGGAGGTCCTAGGCTCAATCCTTGGGCATCTTTAGTAGGGCTGAGAAAATCCCTTGCCAAATCCTGGCAAGTAGTTTCCAGTCAGTATAGAAAGGACTGAGTTAGATGCTCCAAGGGTATGATTCACTGCAAAGCTGTTCCCTGTGTTCCCATGAAAAAAAGAGAAAAAACACACCTGCTGTGTTTACAGTGATTTAGAAGAAGTGGCAGTAGCTCTGCTATAGGATTCCCCTCCTAAAAAACAAAACAAAATGAGGGGTTGCTTTGTTAATTAATATTTTGCTTCCTTCCTCTTTCCAGCTTTGATGAAAATGGATATTTTATTTATTCAATGTGGGGATTTCTACCCCTGCCTTCCAAAACTTTTGCCGGGTGGCTAATAAAAACATATATATCTCAGGAAATACAATAAAAACAATTTAAAAGGAACCTGCAATAAAAGCAGTTGAGAAGAAACAATTTAAAAGGAACATATATCCAAGCAACAAGATCTATAGAGAGCAGGGCATAATCGTCAGCAGAAATAAAAGTTAAGTAATAAAAAGCTGCATAAAAACACTGACAAAGATCAAATGAGTTACTCTGGATTAAAAAATCGTGGGGAAATAGACCTGGAGAGGTTTCGCAGGGCAGCAAAATGACATCGGTGAGGAGATGGTTCCATAATTGGGGTGCCACCATTAAAAAATGTATCAATCACAGTTTGGCTAAATGATCATTTAGATGGTCCTTTTGCTCCTGTTTCCAATAGGAAAAATGAAAATAGAAAGAATTATCTTTTCCCCCCTCCCCATTCACACCTATGCACATACATGCACACAAATACTTCATCTCAGAACTGTGAAGGTAGAATGGTACATAAGAAAAGCTGTGCTGGATCAGACTAAAGGTCTATCTAGTCCACTTTTTGCTATCACAGTGACCCATGGGAACACGAGAACATGGCTGCAATATCGCTCTCCCATTCATATTTCATAGCAACTGATACTTAGAAACATTTTATTGTGACTAATCCTAAAGGCAGTATACAGTGATCATGACTGGTAACCATTGATATCTATATCTGCCATGATTTTGTCTAGTTGTTGGACATCACTACATCTTGAGTAACCCATTCCATGTTTTAGCTATGTGCAATTTCGTTTGAGTTGATGATCCTTCATTTTAGTGCTAGGAAGCAGGAAAACCTATACCTATCTCTCCATGCAACTGTGAGATGAAGGGCCCGTTTCAGATCTTGTAGTTAACCATTTCCTTTATCTTTTAGGAAGCAGTGGTCAGCTCTTGGGTCCAGTTCAGCGATGGCTCAGTGACCCCACTGGACATTTACGACCCCAAAGACTTTTCCCTCTCGGCTTCCTCTCTCGATGAATTGGTCATTTCAGCCCACCAGAGCTCTGCTATGAAATGGCCAGTGGTTGCAGCAGAAGGCGAAGGACAAGGCACATTGGTCAAAGTGGACATGATGATCTCTGAAACCTGCCAGAAGTCCAAGAGGAAGAGTGTTCTCGCCGTAGGCAACGGTAGCATCAAGGTCAAGTTTGGTCAGAATGATGCCAACTCCCATGGGGCCGGCGATTACGATGCCGATGAGATCGAGAACCATGCGAGCGACCGAAGGCAGAAGGTGTTGGACCAAGAGCGGTATGGGCAAGACGGGCGGTACTATGGAAGCCCTTCTGCCGAACGAGAGGAAGTTTCCGTCAGGAAAGCTGGCACCACTGCAAAGTCTACGATCAAAAGCAAAGTCTTTAAGAACAGCCTGGATGGAGAAAAGCTGTCGGATGACGGACAGCTCCAAAACATCCCAATCGACTTCACCAACTTCCCAGCACAAATTGACCTTCCCAAAAGCAATGGTGGCACAGAGGACAGTGACCTTGTGCAGGCACCCAGGGGTCTCAGTGACTTGGAGATTGGGATGTATGCTCTGCTGGGAGTCTTCTGCCTCGCCATCCTTGTGTTCCTGATAAATTGTGCCACCTTCACGTTAAAATACCGGCACAAGCAAGTTCCGATGGAAGGGCAAACTTCCATGAGCCACTCCCATGACTGGGTGTGGCTTGGGAATGAAAGTGAGCTCCTAGAGAACCGAGTGGACGTCTCCCCCCAGCAGAACGAACGCACAACTAACATAGACCGAGGGATAGGCTTTGAGGAGAGCAACCAGCTCCTCAATGGCAGCACACCGAAAAGTATCCAGAGCCAAATCCATAGGTCGGCTGACTCAGGGGGCAAGCAGGGGGAAGGGCCGAAGGTCGATCCCCCTTTGCATTCACCCACCTCCAAGCGGAAGCGGGTGAAGTTCACGACATTTACCACCATCCCTCCAGACGATGGTTGCCCCACCATCAACTCCATCCTCAACTGCAATGAAGATGACATTAAATGGGTTTGCCATGACATGGACCTGGGGGAGTCGAAAGAGATAAGAAACTACATGGAGAAGCTCAAAGACAAAGCATAGCTTCAGTTGATGGGTTTTTTTATGGTTTAGCAACCACACCTTGATGCCTTCAGTTGAGTTGAGAGGGACTTGCGGAATAAGATGGATCTGTTTGTGCGTGTGTGAACTGTGGGGGGAACTGAACAGACTTACTCACAACAGATTATATATATATATATAGTCAGGGAGAGGTATTTGCTAAAGATGTTCATGATGGCTTGTTCTTAGTCCCCCTCCCCAGATGGAATGTCCAACCATTTGGATAAGCTAACCTCCACCAAGCTGGTCCCCTCCAGACATTTTTGGACTACCAATTCCCCTCAGCCCCAGCCTGTACAGCTGTGCTGATGGGATTTGATAGTCCAAAACATATTGAGGGTACCAGCTTGGCAGAACTTGGGACAAGAAGCCCAAAGGAATTGAACTGACTAGTATGATGTACTGGGACAAGGTGAGGTTATGATATGGATGATTAGGGTGTCAAAGACAATTAAACACAAGGTACCAAAAGTATTCTTTTTTTTTACAAAAAAAGGAAAAAAGATAATAAAAAAGAAAGAAAACTTCTTTATATTTCTAATAAAGCATCAAAAATATGATACTGAGACTTATGAAGAGACTGTCTGAAGGTAATAGTCATACAGTCGCTGCAGCTGGAGACAGGATGTGATGCCAGGCAGAGGAGAGACAATATTATTTTTCTTTACAGTTCAATTTTTTAAAAAAAAGATTGTGTCACATGCTGTACGTAGGGTCCCCCTCCCCTTTGTTCCCCACTCTTCTGCCTTTCATACCTTACTTTTCATTTTGGAGGGATGCAGCGGGTGGGGGGCAATAATTAACCAAGAAGTTTTTCTATGGAACAAAAATAATATCCCAACATTAGTTTATATATACTCTCAACACTTGAAGATGATCAACACAAGCACTTCATTTCAGTGTGGCATGCTTTTGGAATGCATGAATTTCATTAAGGGCCAGCTGATGTCTGGATCTGGCCCTTGAAGCAGCCTTTTCAGCCCTCACCACCCACCTGCCAACTATTAGTCCTTCCCACTTTGGACTGGGGTTTCCCCCCATACACACAATTTTACCTTCTATTGAGAAGAAGCTGGAACTGGTGGAGGATGGGGCACAAGGGTGAATGGGGCACTGCCCCACCAACCTCATTCTTGATTCCTCCGAGGCCCCCTGCCTGCCTTCTCACAGCCAGGGATTGGCCCTGGCTGTCAGCTTCTTCCTCCTAAGTCTCTATTTTGCAGTTATGGAGCTTAGCAGGGAGGAGGACGGGACAAACATGGAATTAGTTGGTGCCACCTGCCATTGGCTCAGGCACCATCCATTGTGGCTTCCCTGGTGTCTGCCCTGCCAGTCCCAGAGGCCACCACTGGCAAGGATGCTGGGTGCATATTTCATGTCCACCTTTTTTGTGTCAAAAGCTCTTGAACATTTTGGAATGGCAGAGTTAACCACTGTCAACCTCTCCAGAAGCACATGCATCTCTCAACCTGAATAAACAATGAGCTCATCATTCCTGATTGCATGTATGATGTACCTGTGAAGTATGAGCTGCTGGACGATCCCAACTCCATTACAGACTAAACCAGGGATGGTGCAACATGTGGCCATCTGGCAGTGGCTGATGGGCCCTGGAGTCCAACATATGCCAAGCATCACTTGGGCTACCCTTGGCATAAAGCCTTATCATCAGTAGACAAATGACACCGACAAAATGCTACATAGGATCCTCTATGCGGTGGGTGCTTTCATTGTGATGTTCCCTTAGTGGTTTCATCCCAAGAGAACAGGAAATTAAACATGCTATCCATAAAAACCCATCAAGACTATCATGCGGGAGGCGAGGATAGAGAGCTCCAGTCTTTTCTCCAGCCCTAATTTGTATGCACCCCTTCATTGGGTTTGGGGAACCTGTGGCCCTCTAGACATCCTTGTATTCCAATTCCCAGCCCCAGCCAGGATGTCCAAAGGTCAAGGACCATGGGAGATGCAGTCTACCACCATCTGGGAGGCCACAGGTTCCCCCTTCCCTGTTCTACAACTCTTCTCCCACATCTCATCATGGAGGCTGGTGTTTTAAGCCAAGCCAAGAGGTGGGGCCAGTCCTGCTCCAAACCTGGGCAAACCCCACAGTTTCCACAAGCTGAATGGAAGCCCAAAGACCTGAGAAATATAATCTAAAGGAGACTTTGGGCTTCCCAGGTGCCGTGTGTCTCGGAAGCGGAGGCAATGGTCCCACACTCAAGTCCTGGTTTGTAGAAGGAATCATTAAAATGATATGGCCCTTCCCTTGTAATGTCAGATCAGTCTTTAGAAGGGTGATGAAATATATTGATGGTGTTCCAATTAGTGGCAACTTGGCTACCTTCTACTTGGGTGGGCAGGGGAGTTGCAACACTACAATGTTGGCACCCGACACCCCAAGAGCAGTGCTCTATTGTATCCATGCTGTGCATAAACTTTGGTCCTCAAGATATTTCGGAACTACAACTCCCATCAGCCCTATCAAGCATTGCCAATAATATGGGATGAGGAGGATTGAAGTTCCGCAACATCAGAACCAAAGGCTCCCTCCCGCACCCCACTACTGTACCCCCATAGGATTGAGTGGCAGTCATTCATAAATATGGGAGCAAGGAGAAAGGTGCATCACTTAAGTGGGGCTGGACCTTTTCCTTGTGGTGCTGCTCCACCCACTCATCTACTTAGCCCCACTTTTCTTTCTTGGTCACCCCACAGTGTGACAGAACGTTGAAAACTGACTTAAAGGTTCTTAGGATCTCAAAACAGATGTATTGTTTCAGCCTTCAGACTAGAACAATAAGGTAGTCCTGACAAAGGTAGGCATTGACCATTCCTGAACTATGTCCAGGAGGCAACTCTTTTGCAGGCGAGTGAGGGAGAAATGAACTTTCTGGTTTCATTTTCACAACCAAAGTTATATCCTAAAAGGAAAAAAAATGTTGTCATCTCCAGCACATGACTTCCAAGCATGGAGATGACTATTTTTTGCCTCAGAAGCATGGAAGCAAATTTCCAGTCCTCAAGGGTGAGGAAGTATGTGAGCAGCACCTGGGGAAATCTCAGACATTGGGGACAGCAGAATTCTTGGTGCACAAGATGGTGGGTTTCAATGCCTGGTCCTTACCCCTCCATGATTAGTAAAACAAAAGACACCTGCAAGAAGATTTTGTAAGGCTCGTCTTTCCCCTTCTGCCCCACATGCTACAGAAGTGGAAGAGGAGGCATTTCACTACTCCTTCCAGAATGTCAGGACAGAAAATATGAGTATCTGCAACCATAATGTCTAAACTTACCAGGATTTCAGGCAGGGTTCCACTCAGCCCTCCCTGGAGATGCCAGGGATTGAACCTGGTATCTTCTGCATGCAGTGCAGATGCTCTACCGCTGGACTATAGTCCTTCCCCTATTCCCAGCAGCTACCATAAGCCCAAAGCCAAGCCCAGTAACCTCATCTTTATGCCATGATATTGCATCACCCAGAGAAGGTTAGGCCACAGCAGCAGGGCAGGCTCAAGACATTTTCACACCTGAGGCAAACCACAAGATGGTACCTCCTTCCCTTCCAGGGAAGAAGGGGTGAGTGAAGATCTACATCAGGAAACAAGTGGGGAACTAAGATCTACATTGGGATCTGCTGCCCCGGGGGATGCTGCTGCCTGAGGCAGTTGCGTCACCTTGTCTCATGGTTGGGCCGGACCCACACAAGGGGAAAGTTGACACCAGGAAAAGAACTGCTGGCTGCTGCAGATGAAGCTCAGCAAGGTGAGAAGCAGGGAGTCCCACGTGCCCAGGACTGGAGCCTGAGAGGGACCTGGCAAGCAGGCAGGAAAGTGAGCAGAAACAGCCAGGTTTAGAAGCCAAGGAGCACCAATCAAAGCTGCCTGTCACCCAATCAAAACCTCGAACTAAACGGGGGGGGGGGGCGGGGTTTAAAAAACACAAGGTCAAAATAAACTAAGGTGCTGCCAGACTGAGTGGAGCTCCCCTGGTGGTAGGGAGGACTATCATAGCCCAGGAAAACATTCTAATTGCAGGTCCGAATGGCAAGGGGACGAAAGAGCACAGTTCCTGACATTCCAGGTTCGCTTCTTCCTCCTGATTCGCAGCAAAATCTTGTTGAAATTTAAAGGTCTTGTCACTCTCTTCTACATCTTTGGAAAGCTGCACCCCGTGTTGCCTGCTAAATAGGAACACACTCTGCTTGCCTTCATCAATTCCAATTATTATTTGAACGACTCGTTAAGTTTTATTTGGGTCCAGATTCCCTACCCCTTTTTTATTTGTCTTGACTGTCTGGGTGTGACGAAGCCCACCACCCTATAACATAGATCGACTTTTTTAAAAACAAAATTTGCCTAGTATGCATTGTAGACTCAAAGAATGTAATATTTATTTATATGTGTTATACAAATTGTAATTAAAAGGCTTTACATGGCTTGATCAGTAGGTTTGTTGGTGAAAGCGTGGAAATCAAATCAAAATCCTTTGCAGAGACGGATACAAGGATGCTTCAATGAAGTGGGAAAGGGGTGTTTGTGTGTTGCAAATAAGTGTCTTGTTTTATATGGAAATGTGTATGCCTTCAACCTGGGCATGGCTGGTGAAAGCTGTGGTTGTCCAGATGTCATTGAACTCCAGCTGCCATAAGACCCAACTCAAAGGGCCAAAATCTTAGGGATGGTGGAAGTTGGACAACAATAGGAGGCTCCTATGGGCATGAAAAAGCATTTGCTTTAAAAAGTACTTCTTATTTTTCCTGCCCTTAATCAACTAGCAATGGTGTTTTGTGTTTGCACATACCTCTGGCAACATTAAAATAAAATAAAAATTCAGAAATTTGCAGCCAGTGGCAGGGTCAAAAGGTGCCCAATATGTTCACAGACCATTAGGAACATAGGAAGCTGCCTTCTACTGAGTTAGACCATTGATCCATCTAGCTCAGAACTGTCTACACTGGCTGGCAGCAGCCCTCAGGGTTTCAGGCAAGGAGCCTTCCTAGCCCTGTCTAGAGAGTGAACCTCGGATCTTCTACTTGCAAATCAGATGTTCTACCACTGAGCTACAATCTGCTCCCCAGTTATTGATCCAGTTTCTGATCTAGTTAGTAGTTCTAGTAGGTCTACTTGGGATGCAGTAATCCTGCACTCTCAATAGGCTTCATCCGTTCTTGGAGATGTCATGTTCAGCTTGAAGTCAACAGCTTGATACCATGGGAAAGTGGTGTATTCATATGGTGTAGGGTATACCATTTCTGAGAATGATTATTTAGAACAATGATTATTTAGAACAATGGCCAATGGAATCTGCTCCATTTGGGCAAGTGGGACACTGCCCCACCAACTTCAGTCTGAGCCAGTGTGGTGTAGTGGTTAAGAGCGATAGACTCGTAATCTGGTGAACTGGGTTCGCTTCCCCGCTCCTCCACATGCAGCTGCTGGGTGACCTTGGGCCAGTCACACTTCTCTGAAGTCTCTCAGCCCCACTCACCTCACAGAGTGTCTATTGTGCGGGAGGAAGGGAAAGGAGAAGGTTAGCTGCTTTGAGACTCCTTAGGGTAGTGATAAAGCAGGATATCAAATCCAAACTCTTCTTCTTCTTCTTCAGTCTGCCATCAGCCAGCCCCCACCTGCCTGCCTTCTTAAAATACAGTGAACACATCTGCTTGATATCAATAAGCAGTGAGTTTCAAAGTGAGAGTGCTGCTGCCACACTAAATGACTGTGTTCTTACCAATGTGGCTTGGGTATTTTGTGGCACCTGTAGTAGTGTCAACTCTGCTGATTGAAGTGTTGAGTCTATGGACAGGGGTGCCAACTTGAATAAAATATTGCATGGGGGGAGGTAAGCCGTACCCCACACATGATCACATGACACGGTGGATGCACACCATTTGAATGGCAATGCCCACCAACTTTGGAGGGGCCCAGTCCCCTCAAATATTGGCTCCTATGTCTATGGGTTAAGGCAGTCTTATAGGTAAACCCGTCTCAAGTTGCTAAGGGCTTTGTTTACTAATAGTAACACTTTGAACTTGACCTGGCATTGCCTCATTGATACCTTATCTGTTACCTCACTTGGCCCAAACAGCTAGGCTGTATCAATCTGAGAGGATGGATTCTGTTCAATGGTGCTATCCAGGCAAGACACTGCACAGAATAAGCAAGAGGGGCCCAAAACGCCGGGGTGGTTCACCACATTTTGAAGTGGGGGCTACGTTAAGACCATTTACTCCAAGAGCCTAAAATTACCTAACTGCCCCATTGATTCCGTTTCATCAGACTGCATATCTGCATCGTAAAAAGCAGAGGCCTGGTCTCGGTTACCACAGGCTGATGACATATACACACAAACACCATACACAGCCTTCACAGGGGAAGCACAAAACACTCTAATAGGTCCCTGACCCCCATTAGCATGTAAGTGAGGTTTAACACAGTGATTCATGTCCTTGGGAAAGTATCAGCAAGCCCAAGTCTCGCCAAGCAGCTCCTGCAAAGTCCTGCTATCCATCACTGAGATGGCACAATGAATGATGAACTGCTCAAAAAAGTCACTTGTGGCAGAAACAAGGTTTTCTGGAGCTTTTCATGTCGAGGATGACTGCGAGAATGAGCTTGATGAATGGCGATGCCAGTGGGAACCTCGGCCGTCTGCCCTGCCCTTCCGCCATATTTTCCACCACTGAGCAATAAAGTGTGTGAGAGCAATCTGTGAAGCTCCAAGAGATTCCAAGTAGGGCCAAGTATTCAGAGTTTTCTTTTTCTTTTTTTAAGAAGGTGCTAGCTTTGGGGCAGCGGGTACACTTGTCACCTATGATTTGGGTTAATGCTTCACTCAGTTTTGTAGAGTGATCCCACCCAATCAAGGATCCCCTAGGGAAAGAATCACCAACCACTTAGGGCCAATTTTGAAACAGGTGATGCTGTGGGTTAAACCGCAGAGCCTAGGACTTGCTGATCAGAAGGTCGGCGGTTCAAATCCCCACAATGGGGTGAGCTCCCGTTGCTCGGTCCCTGCTCCTGCCAACCTAGCAGTTCGAAAGCACGTCAAAAGTGCAAGTAGATAAATAGGTACCGCTCAGGCGGGAAGGTAAATGGCATTTCCGTGTGCTGCTCTGGTTCGCCAGAAGCGGCTTAGTCATGCTGGCCACATGACCTGGAAGCTGTACGCCGGCTCCCTCGGCCTATAGAGCGAGATGAGAGCGCAACCCCAGAGTCAGTCACGACTGGACCTAATAGTCAAGGGTCCCTTTACCTTTAAACTGTTGTGGACACCACCACATAATGGCTGCTCTGAGAGCCTTGTAAGCCTCAAAATGGCTGCTGTGGGGGGCCTAACTAGCCACAGAGCACAAGCCTAACTACATTTAAACCCATGGTTTAATTAAAATTTAAACCTTAGTGAAACATAAGGACCATAGTTTTCCTGCAGCTGAGGTCAACCATCGAAGGCCACATTCACACCATACATTTAATGTACCATGATACCATTTCCCACAGTCATGGCCTCCCCCAAAGGATTATGGGATCTGTAGTTTGTTAAAGGTCAAACTTTGCATATTCAAGGCTATTTGAAATATGGCAACACATTCAGTTTTGCAGTTTTGAGTTTCAAAGTCTCAAAATATCAAAATGTTGAATGTGACTGGACAAGGGGAATATAATTGTTGAGTAGATGAGCACTTTAGACTAGCTGACTGGTTGGCTTGATTTTTGTCAGGTATCTAATGCAAGTTATCAGTGGTCAGTTACTCAAGGCCACAGTCCCTGTCAGCAATCTAAAACTGCCGGATAAACTAAATGCCAGTGTGTACCAGCTACCCAATACCTTCAGCTACAAAATACTTTTGCGGGTCAGCTATTAAATGCCCTACTCCTGCTCACACTCCTGCTCACATATTCATATGTACTTATCTGAACAGAATCGTGAGTGGATGCTGGAACTACAATTCCCGAGATCTTAAGGGGGGGGGGTATTTAAAGTGAGAATATTGAACAAACAGTCCTCCTGTTGCCCAACAGATATTCCCTGATGCTGTGGATGGAACATAATGCTTTTAAGCAATGGATCATTCCTCCCCGCTCCTCGCCCCTCCTTCCATCAGAAGTCATTTTAAGTCAATGCAAATATAAATTCTCTTCTCAGCAGGGGAGGAAGCCGTTGGGCTGTGAAATATCATTTATTTGAGAAATTCGTGTTGGGTCAAAATGTCGAGATTTGCATTTCTGAAAGTGCCAGCATGTTGAAACTCTGGAGGGGGCCCAGCAATGAGTGGATAGAGCGTCTAGGATGGCATCGCTCTCGGCAAATGTATCGAAGCTCCCCAGACGAGGGACTCAGGAGGCCCAGGAGTTGTAGAGCTGCAAAAGGATATTAAGAGTCTCTTTCAGCGAGCTGAGATGAGATAATTATCTGTTAAAAACGTGTCGTTACAAGGTGGCATACCGTAGCTTTGAATCTGAAGAGTCCGGGAATTTCAAGAATCTCCCTTGCAACAGCATTAGGTATGGGGATTGTGCCAAAGGGGGAACCACAAGTGTCCATGCATGCAGAGTGAGGTCAGTGGGCCATCCATGTGGCTGGAATCGCCAATCTAATTGCAGGCTTGTTTTGGAGTTTTCTTTTAGGAGCAGCGCAGAATTCCTAGCAAGGCCTGGACCCTTGCAGGACATCCTTTTCCTACAGTGACCGCAGCCAATCAGGAAAGTTGTAGTGAATGTGACTGAGAATGCCTTCATTCTTTGCTGTGTTTGTAAAGTCACAATGATGCCATCTCCTTCAGACAATGGAGGGTAATGGAGCTGAAGGGACAGAGGTTCTGGGCCAGGAAGTATCGGGATATAAGAGTAATTGGAGGGCAAGGCCATCAAGGTCTTTGAAGGTAAGAGCAAGGAACATGTGTTGGATAGGTTTGAGGGGGGAAAGAGGATGCAGTGGAAAGTCAGAGAAGAGAAGAGGGCAGTAGTCTAGGCAAGAGATGACCTGTGCAGGAAGCACTTTTTGACAAGGGGAAAGAGAGGAAGGGAAATATTTTTTTGCAAAGTTATAAAAGGAGAAGTAACAACATGACATTGCAGCAGATGGAATATGGGTGGCAAAGGAAAGAGAAAGAGAGGAACGAACGATAAAGCCAGTGCTGTTTATCCACTTTGAGATCCAGAATTGTATCATGGTGCCTCCAGTTATATCATGTGCCATGTCCAAGTTGCAGCCACCAGCTAGGCAGAGGTTCCCAAATGTTAATGAAGACGCTTCTCTTTTTGGCACCAGGAATTGACTTCATGCTTCTGCATTGCCTGGGCACTAATCCAGTGGGAAATGTCACATCTTTGTGATCCACAGGATGCCCACCACTGAGGAAGGGACAGTAGTTCTTGGTTCCCCATGCAGGAAGTACACCAAGGCAGGGCAGGTTAAGGCAAGGGTCATAACATT